TGCCCTACTTCCCTACAATAAAGATGGTACCAAAGCAGGTGTTGTAGAGAAACAATCTTGAGGTATTGGAGATGCCATATGCCCCAAAGAGTGGGGTTCCTGGCACCAATGCTACTCTCAGTTCCTCTGTGGTGGTAAACTGAGGCACTGGAGGCTGAGTGAGTGGGATGGGCACTGCAGGCATTTGCATTATTGGCATCGGTGCCGGTTATTTGTTATGTGTGTTTGCATGTTTACTCAGTGCTGGCAGCCCTGAAGGGGTTTCAATTGCTGCACTTGGTGCTGGAACTGGTCTTGGTGCTGGAATTGGTCTTGCCAATGCTGCTTTTTTTGATGCCAGCATTTTTTCTGATGCTGGTGTGGAGCTCTTCTGTTTCAGCACCATGGTTGGCTTGGCAGATGAAGGCGGGCCTTCTCCTTGGGGTCATGGCTTTTCTCGGTGCCTGCCCCATTCACTGTCTGTTTCTCTGGTGCTTTAACTGTAACTGGCGTGGAGACGGACTTTTTATTTTGCGATTGCTTCCTCACTGGGGAGTTGGAACCTGAGGAAGAATAGGACCTCCTCTTTGACATTTGAGCCCTTTCCTGGTCCCTGGGGCTCAACTGGGAGGGATTCCCTCTATCAGATACTGTCCCCAGGGACACATGCCTGGGTGGCATGGTATATGAGATGGGTCTGAGGCCGACCGTGATGATTTCTCTGGCTGAGGATCATTTTAAGCTGGAGATCTCTAGCTTTCCTTGTTTTGTCGATTAGCTTTTGACAGCGAGGACACTGTTCGGTATCATGCTCCTCTCCTAAGCAGCAGACACACTCTAAGTGTCTGTCTGATATTGAAATTGAAAGCCTGCAGCTCTTGCGCTTTTTAAATTCTGGAGAACCAGGCACATCCCAGGACAGTCTGTTTAAATTGGTCACTGAAGAGTGAGACTGCATGCAGTGTAATAAACCACAGCTTAGCAATGACAATTGTTTTTTCTCAATATTTTAAAAAAACTAAGCTATACTAATACACTATTAACTAATTGCTCAAAGCTCTAACAACTATTAACAAGGTAATCTGAGGGCAATTGCTCTGCTGCGACCAAAGCCAGTGGTGGTCAGAAAGGACCTAAGGAGGTGGTTGGCTGCACATGCGGGATAACCTTTTGAAATATTGTGCGCCAGCATTCCATGTGCACAGCCTACCAGGGCACTGCTAGCAAAAGTCTCTGACAAGAGGTGCAGTGGCACTGGTGCACCTAAAGGCAGAACACCCATGGGGACACTTCTCAAAGAAGCAGCACAGGATCCACCATCAGCCATATTGTCACATGGAGAAACAGATAATATAGTCTTAACATATGGTAATAAGCTTTCTAGTCTGCTATTATTTATGGAGGATGTTAAATGAAAGCAGCTAAAGATAGATATTTTTAAATCAGTAGGTCCAGAAAACTTGCATCTAATCATTTTAAAGAAGTTGTCTGAAAAGCTTGCTGGACTGTTAATTGACTGCACTAAGAGTTAGAATATTAGGAAAGTTCCAGAATGCAGAAAGAAAGTTAATGCGGTGCCAGTTTTTAAAAAGGGCAAAATAGGATGATCTAGGTAATAATAGGGCTGTTATTCTGACACCAATCACAAGCAAAATAATGGAGCAGATTATCTGGAACTTGATTAATAAAGAACTAAAAGTGGATAATGTAATTAATGCATATCTACATGGGTTTATGAAAAATAGTTCCTGTCAAACTAACTGGATTTTTTTTTAAACAATTACAAGTTTGATTGATAATCAGAATAGCGGGCACATAAAATACTTAGATTTCTGTAAAGTGCTTGATTTGGTAGCTTACAACATTTTGATTAAAAGAAACTAGAATGATATAAATTGGTATGGCACACAAACAGATTAAACACTAGTAAATGACAGATCTTGAAATGACAAATCTTGACTAATTTTTCTGTGGGTCAGTGGCCCCCAACCCAAAAAAGGCTCCCCACCCGTGCTTTAAATCCCTCTTACAAAGGACCGTGGAAGATTTTCTAACACCGACAACTTTTACATCAAGATTAGATGTATTTCTAATTTAGGAATTATTTGGGTGAAGCTCTATGGCCTGTGATACACAGGTGATCATACTGGTCTTCTGGCCTTAGAATCAATGAATCCATGAGCCTTGGGCAACACAAGCATTCCTCTTTCAGCCTATGCATGATTTGCTATCCTTCTGTAGTTTAGCTACCCCTGGGTCCTCCAAATGTCTTGCTGTAGTATTCAGCCCCTGGGCCACTAGACACTCTCTGTATTCACAGATATAGTATCTCAAAGAAATAGTGCACCTAGGTTTACTAGGATCACTGCTCTTCTTAATTTAAAGCTCTTAGATTTGATTAAAGTAAAAACAAGTACAATCTATTTAGCCAAGAACAGAGATTTAAGTCATAGCAAGTAGAACTGGAGACAATTGGTCATATCTAACAAAAAATTGCAATAGCGCTTAGAGTCAACTAATTTAGATGAAATATGTCAGAGACAAAACAGGTGTCCCAGGAGTGGATGGGGTTAAAGGGACGGCTTTATTGCCTACGCATGTTTACTTTGGACACTCAACACACTGTCCGAGTGGCTACAATTTGGCAGTAGCTAGAATCTTTTATCTATTTTAGTATGTTAATTCACATATCTATCACTTCTTTTCCTAAAGCCTTATTTAGTAATGTTAATTCCCATAAAATAAATATGAATAGACAAATAATGAATACAATTATACCTGCTCCTAACTACTATTTATATAATTTCTAATTAAATCAGCAATTTCTTATACTACAAACTAACAAATTACAGCGATTACAAGGAATTTGACCTGGAAATGTTATGCAGAGACTATGAGGATAAGCAAGAGACCAAACAAGGCAGAGCAGCTCCATATCTATCTGGTTACCTAGGCTACAAAATGGAGAGAGATCAAATACATGTATAATCACAAAACATAACACTGGTCTCAACTGGACCCTATCGTCCCAAACTACATAACAAAGGAAAAGGACATGTCCAAGGATAATGCCTGCTGTAGCTGAATCCTTGAGCACCAACCCAAAAAGGCCATTCCAGACCCCTATTAATTTTACACTACCCAACAAAATATATGGGCTAAAAAATGTTAGTATAACTCAGTAGCTGTCCAACATTAAACAACAGAAAATGAGGTTCAGAGTTTTCCATACAGAAACCTCCATGTGGGTAGTACCAATGCAAACACACCATTAAATGGTGATTTGATCTTTTATTAAAGATACAGAAAAAAAGGAAAAAAAATAAAGCCTTCAAAATGTATCTTTTAAAATCCTGAGGGGTGTGTGTGTGCACCTACCTAGACTGTAAGGTCAGCTATCAGAGACTGCAGTTTGTTTTCTCTCTCTTTTTAAGCTCTTTTGTGGTAAAAGAGTTTTGGGTACCCTTGTGAAAGAAGTTCAAGTGCTCTTGCTGGGTTTTAGAAGAAGGGAGTTATTTGTGCACTTGATGGTGGCAGCTACCTCCCAAGGTTGGGAAATCTGTGACCTTGGGGAGTTTTTTTAAGCAGAAGCCTATAGAGGCAAGATATTTAAGATCTCTTGTGGGTCCCCACCTTCTGCACTCACAGTGGGGAACATACATGGTGACAGCACTGGTGGTGTCATTCTGAACCAGGAACACATACCTCAGGATTTTAAAAGGACACATTTTCCCCCGTTTTTTGCTTGGAAGTTTTGGGATTTTTTTATTTTTGTTTTGCTGCCTGAAGGGGAAAAGGCACACAAAGTTAAGTTTTCACAGAGCAGAGAAGTTTAACCAAACAAAACAAAGAAAAATAACCTGATTGCAACTAAACATACATTTCTCTATCTATTCACATTCCATACTGATCCGTACTTCAAGGCCCAGTCCATTCCCATGCCCAATACTCCTTGTAGGCATGGTAGTTTTGTCTGATTACTTCATCTTGCTTCCCCTAGCTCCTAACTTAACTCACACAAAGGAAATAGCAGGCAGGTATATCTCCTCACTTCCAATTTTAACAATTTCTGCCACTGGCTCTCCTTGGCTCCCTGCCAATACCCCCTATCTACCTGAGTTTAACTCTTTAGTCCAGTGGTCCCCAACGTTTTGGGCCTGCCTGGCTCCTGGTTGCGGGGACGCTCACGCGCTGCGCGTATGGGGGCGGGGCCGCTCACAGGCCACGTGACTGGGGGCGGGGCCAAGCATGCGCCGCACGCCCACAGTCAGCACCGGCATGTGCTGTGATCCCGGGCAGGGGCTGCCCAGGTTCCACGTGGCGCCGCTGGGGCCAGGGCTAGGGCTGGCGCGGCGCCCCCGGGGGCGGGGCTAGGAAGAAAATTGTCACAACCATATATACCAGTGGTCCCCAACGTTTTGGGGCTGCCGGGCGCCTGGCGGCAAGGCCGCTCACATGCTGCGCGTATGGGGGCGGGGCCGCTCTCAGGCCATGTGACTGGGGGCGGGGCCAAGCATGCGCCGCACGCCCGAGGTCGGCACCGGCTGCCCAGGTTCCGCGGGGCCAGGGCCAGGGCCAGGGCAGCGCACCTGGGTGGGGGTCAGGATCAGCACTGGCACACGCGGCACACCCGGGGCTGGGGCCGGCCATGCACCCGGGGCTGGCACCTGCCGCACTCCCGGGGGCGGGGCCAGCCCAGATTGCTTCGCGGGCGCATGTAAAGGGCCCGGCGGGCGCCATGGCGCCCGCGGGCACTGGGTTGGGGACCACGGCTTTAGTCAATGAGTGGTGGCCAGCACTCCCATCCATCACAAGAGGTTTTCACCTATTCTCTCTGCACTGTTGGTGCATCCAACAAACGGAAACACACAAAGGACACACAGAAAAATTTTGTGCTTTCCACTCTGTTTGATCCACCTGCTTTCAGGTGCTGTGACTGCTCCTTCACTTTGTCTCCTCCCTGACTGAATGCCAAGCTTCCCATTCCCTTATACTATGAAGGAAACTCCCTCAATGCTCACCTGCCTTTGGTATTGCTCCTCTATTATCTGTGACTTGGGCAGGGGTGACCTCGCACAATCTTGCACAATCCTTTGTAAATAACTTAGCTCCTGGTCTTTGTCTGCCAAGGCCATTAAGTACTGCTCTTTTGCTCTCTTGTTCTGCATCTCCCAAGTGGTCTTCTCCTGTCTGCAAAACAACACAGTAGAGATTATAGAGGGCAATTCCTGCAGTATGTTCCGTGTAGTCCCTAGCAGGGGAACAGTCTCATTACTCCCCATAGCTAACCTATGCCAGTAGAAAGGTTCTTAGCAACAAGACATTTCCGCCTACAGTCAGGGATACCTAATTCACACATTGAGCACCTGAAATGGAGCAGGGTTCAGAAAACTAGCTTGCCATTAGCTTGAGGGCTGTAGCATGCTCACAGCTTCAAATTTACAGCATCCCTGGACAATATGCTTTCCATAGTCTTCAGACAGTTTCAACTAGACTGACACAAACAATGACTTGAATCAGTCTGCAAGGCAGGAGTGCAAGGTAAATCATTTAGTCTTCTCTCTGGCTAGTTAATTTTAGTTGTGTGGGAGGACAGACTGCTGTAGGAATATTTATGGACTGTACTTTTTAAGGGTGTCAGCAGCATGGGTTTGGCATCAAACTAATAACTAGTCACTCATAGGAATAAGAATGTCTTCTGCAGTAACACAAATCAGGTTAACAACCAAAAGAACCTCAGAGAGGCAGCTGGTCACTAGGTGGGTGGAGGGACAAATTTGCTCCCATATTCTAGTACTGCACAAATTAGGTGTAATATTGGACATTTGTAATATTGGGAGAAGTTATATATTTCTCTGCAACACACAATGCTAGCCTCTGCTGGAGACAAACAAAATTAAAAGAGCTACTGGCTTATTCCAGAATGGCAGTTTGATATAATTAATACATGCTAGTCTGGTACCGATCTCATTCTCCAGCTTATGGGACTCTCCAAATCTTGCCTGAAGACCACCACTAGTATGGACCAGGATGCAGAAGGGCTGTTCTCACCTAAGCTGGTAGAGCTCCCGTTGAGAGGAAATGCTTTCCTGCCTCAGTTGTTCTTGAAGACACTGTTGTTGATCAGCCACTTGCTGATACTCCTGCAGTTGAGCCTTTAAGTGAGAGATCTCAGCTGTTTCCATGCAAATCTGCAGGTACTGCTGTTGCAGATTCTTCAGTTCTGTCAACTATAATCAGAGGAAAAATAGCAGAATGACAAATCCTGTAACTGCTACTGAATAAGCAAAGTTTATTTCAATTATTTACAGAAATTCCTAAAGTGCTCTTCACAATGGCAATCGGAGAAGATGGTCACATAATAAAGCAGGCAGGCAGGCCAGAAGGAGTGAGAAAACAGTTACCATAAATTAGCATATATAACCTGCAGGTTATACATGTTTTTACAAACAAACACACACACACACACACACACACCCCTGCAGGGTATACATGTCTGCGTCTTATATAACCTGATTTTTACTCCTCCCGCCCAGAAGAGGGTGGGTGGCCCCTGGCTGCGGCTGTGCAGAGTGGTCCTGGGCACAAGCGTGGCTTTCCTCCCGCAGGCCGGCAGGCTTGCTGACAGCAGGAAGGCTCTGTGGGTTATACACGTGCGCGGGTAATTTAATAATTTTTTTACACATGATAGAAAAACCGCGGATAATACAATGGTGTGGGTTATAACTGGATGCGGGTTATATACCCTAAAACACGGTACTTACCTTTTGTTAACTGTTATTCTTCAAGATGTGTTGTCACATCCATTCCAATAGATGTGTGCACGTGCATGATCACTGGAAGGCTTTTTCCCCTAGTGGCACCTGTCAGGCCTGCTGTGGAGCCCCTAGAGTGGTGCCTGCATGGCCCAATACATATGGCTCACCCATCCCCCTGTCTCCTCAGTTCTTTCTTGATGGCCTTCTAACAAAGGGGAGGTGGGTGGAATTTGGAATGGACATGAGCAACACATCTCAAAGAACAACTGCTACAAAAAGTAAGTAACCATTTTTTTCTTCTTCCAGTGATAAGAACATAAGAACGGCCGTACTGGGTCAGACCAAAGGTCCTTTTAGCCCAGTATCCTGTCTACTGACAGTGGCCAGCACCAGGTGCCCCAGAGAGGGTGGACCGAAGACAATGATCAAGCGATTTGTCTCCTGCCATCTCTCTCCAGCCTCTGACAGACAGAGGCCAAGGACACCATTTTAGCCCCTGGCTAATAGCCTTTTATGGACCTAACCTCCATGAAATTATCTAGCTTCTCTTTAAACTCTATTACAGTCCTAGCCTTCACAGCCTCCTCTGGCAAGGAGTTCCACAGGTTGACTACACGCTGTGTGAAGAACTTTCTTTTATTCGTTTTAAACCTGCTACCCATTAATTTCATTTGGTGACCTCTAGTTCTTCTATTTAGGGAACTAATAAATAATTTTTCTTTATCAGCCCTCTCCACACCACTCATGATTTTACATACCTCTATCATATCCCCCCTCAGTCTCCTTTTTTCTAAACTGAAAAGTCCCAGTCACTTTAACCTCTCCTCATATGGGACCCGTTCCAAACCCCTAATCATTTTAGTTGCCCTTTTCTGAACCCTTTCCAAGGCCAAAATATCTTTTTTGAGGTGAGGAGACCACATCTGTACACAGTATTCAAGATGTGGGCGTACCATAGTTTTATACAGGGGCAGTAAGATATTCTGGGTCTTATTTTCTATCCCTTTCTTAATAATTCCTAGCATCCTATTTGCCTTTTTGACCGCCGCTGCACACTGTGTGGAAGTTTTCAGAGAACTGTCCATGATAACTCCAAGATCCCTTTCCTGATTTGTCGTAGCCAAATTAGCCCCCATCATACTGTACGTATACTTGGGGTTATTTTTCCCAATGTGCATTACTTTACACTTATCCACATTAAATTTCATTTGCCATTTTGCTGCCCAATCATTGAGTTTGGTGAGATCATCTTGGAGTCCCTCACAGTCTGCTTCTGTCTTGACTATCCTAAACAGTTTGGTATCATCTGCAAACTTTACTACCTCACTGCTTACCCCTTTCTCCAGATCATTTATGAATAAGTTGAAAAGGATTGGTCCCAGGACTGATCCTTAGGGTACACCACTAGTTACCCCTCTCCAATCTGAAAATTTACCATTTATTCCTACCCTTTGTTTCCTGTCTTTTAACCAGTTCTCAATCCAAGAAAGGACCTTTCCTCTTATCCCATGGCCAGGTAATTTACACAAGAGCCTTTGGTGAGGGACCTTGTCAAAGGCTTTCTGAAAATCTAAGTATACTATATCTACTGGATCCCCCTTATCCGCATGCTTGTTAACCCCTTTAAAGAACTCTAATAGATTAGTAAGACAGGATTTCCCTTTACAGAAACCATGTTGACTTTGCATTCCAATAGGTCACATGCAAGTAATTTACCTGGAGGAAGGGTCAGAGAATATTGAGTAGATGTCTGGAAGACTGCCCTGCTGAATATCTCAACACTCCAAGCCCACTGGGTGATGGTGTAGTGGCATAATGAGCATGTGGACAGAGGACCACATCACTGCCCTGCAGATGTCCTGAATAGGGAAATGCACAAGGAATGCCCTCAAGGAACCCTGTGCCTTTGTGGAATGAGCCATCAGCACCAGAGCTGGGAGTTTGGCCAGGTCATAGCATATCCTGATGCAGGATGTGCTCCAGGAAGAGAAATGCTGGGACAAGGTGGGCAGTTCTCAAATCCATTGCACAATAGCAATAAAGAGTTGCAGTGATTTATTCAGTGTAGAAGGCTAAAGCCCTTCTCACACCCATGGAGTACAGGGCTCACTCTCTAGTAACACATGAAGTTTAAGGAAGTACACAGACAGAAACATGCACTGGTTCCCATGGAAATGGGAGACCACTTTGGGCAGAAAGGCCATGTGGGAATGGAGCTGCACATCATCCTTATAAAACATGGCATACAAGGGTTTGGAGGTCAGGGCTTGGAGCTTTGAAAGCCTCCTGGCTGAAGTTATGGACACCAGAAAGGTGACCTTCCCTGAGATAGGACAGGGACCAGGTAGATAAGGTTCAAAGGGAGGGCCCAAGATCCAGGAAAGGACCATGTTGAGATCCCTTGGGGATAAGGGGTGTTTAACCTGTGGATACAACAATTCAGTACCCTAGAGAAAGTGCCCCACAGTGGCATCAGCAAAAAGGGACTCATGACCCACCACTGGGTGGAAAATGACAGTCAAATGAAACTTGAGGGACTACAGGGCCAGGCCTTGCTATTTCAGCTGCAACAGGTAATGGAGGTCTAAGGGTAATGTGGCCTCCTGAGGCTCAGCTCCTTTCTGAAGTGACCAAAGCAAAAAGCACTTCCACTCAGGTACGTACATGGCCACAGTGGACAGCTTCCTGCTCCCCAGGACCATCTCCCTAACCAAGTCTGAGCCCTGAAGCTCTTGAGGATTGAACCATGGAGTCTTCATACGTTGTGATGGAGAGACTAGAGGTTGTCATGCTGCAGCCAGCCTTGGTTCAGGGTAGAGTGGCAGAGTATAGGCATGACTACAAAGAGGCTAAGCAGAATCATGAATCAATGCTGTTGGGGCCATGCAAGGGAGATAAGAAGAAAGGAAGGGAACACGTACAGCAGGTGGCCCAAACATGGACTGTGGAACATATCTGCACTGGAACCATGGCTGAGGTTCCAAGAGGAGAACTGGTGACACTTCCTGTTGCTCTTTATAGCAAATTGGTCTATGTGGGGATGTCCCCACCTCTGGAGGATGGAAGGGGTGTCATCTGTCCCAAAAGACCATTCTTGGGTGTTAAAGTGGCTTAGGAGATCAATACATTCCACTCCTACACTCAGCAGGTGGAAGGCCTGCAGGTGGATTTAATACATGAATCAAAAGTCCCACAGGTGAAGGGCTTCATGGCAGAGGGGAGAGGAGAAAGCAATTCCCTCTTTATGTAGCACATCATCATGGCAATACACTGGTCTGACAAGCAAGACAAACTGTCCTCTGAGTTCCCTGACACTGATGTAGAGGGACAGTTCCACATAAGAGGACAGCCCAAGTATGAGTTCCCCCAGATGCACTCCCCAACTTGCCTCCGATGCCTCCATGATTAGAGACAGGGAGGACTGGGGGCTGGTGAAGGGGCTACCCACACACATCTCTTGGGGCTGCAGCCACCAATTTAGGGAGCGAAGAACTGACTGAGGTAGAATGACCAGACCATCTAGTGCAGCATTTTTCAAAGAGGTCTGCAGATCCACTCTGAGAAACCTGCTAACTAGCCACACCAGTTTGTTTATTTTCCGGCTCTACAGCCATGGTACCTCACAGTTCCCATTGGCTCTGGTTGCCTCACAGTTCCTCTTGGCTGCAAATGGTGAACCAGAGTCAATGGGAGCCATGAGATTCCATGGCTGCAGAGCTGGTAAATAAACATAGTGCAGTGGCCAGTTAGCAGGTTTCTCAGAGTGGATCCATGGACCACTTTGAGAAACATTGATCTAGTGGCTCTCTGCTGGGCCTGTGAACCATGGCAAACTAGGTCTGGAGGGGGCAGAAGTGGAGTATGGCATGCTGCATGACGAATGTGCAGGTTTCCATGTGCCCCAGAAGCCTCATGCAATTTCTGGCCACAGTGACAGGGAACCACGGCAGGGTATGAATAACGTCCATGAAAGCAGGGTTCAGGGAGGAAGGCCCTCACACGGGTAGAATCTAGGAAGGCCCCAATGAATTCTATGCCTTGAGCCAGGACCAGCTGAAATTTGGGAACCCTGAGAATAAGGTCCAGTGTGGAATAGGTCACCTGTGCCAGTCCCATATGGTGAAGGGCCTGCTCCTGGGTCCCGCCCTTCATCAAACAGTGATTCAGGTATGGAAAAACCAGCACTTGGTGTTTGCGTAGAAAGGTAGCCACCACTGCCATGCACTTTGTGAACACCTGCAGCATTGTGGAGAGGCCAAACAGGAAAACCTTGAATCGGTAGTGGAGACCATTAGCTATAAACCTGAGAAACCTCCAGTGTGCAGGAATGATGGAAATATGGAAGTACGTGTTCTTCATATCGAGGGCACTAGATCAATCCCCCACATCTAGGGATGGGATAAATGATTCATGATGTACCTCAGCCCACCTCTGTAGATAAGAAAATAACAGGAATAGAAAGCCCTCCCCCTTGCTGCCCCTGAATTCCCACGGAACCTCCTCTCTTGCCCCTAACTCCAGGAGGGACTGAACTGCCTGAGGAATTACTCATGAGAAGGGTCCCTGAAGAGGGTCGGGAGAAGGGGTGGGTGCAAGGGCAGAGAATTGGATGGGCAGAGGATTGCATACTGAGGACTAAACAGTCTGAGGTAAAATACTGGGGTCTGCCATAGTACCCTGGTGGTAGACTGGATGGTCTTTATGAGGGGCAATGGCATATCCACCATTGAGTCTGCATGCTCCACAAGCTCTTCTGTAGGTTCTTCTGAGGCTGTGAGCCACTTAAAACAAAAGGCCTTCATCTGCCCTTGCATCAGGGTGGGAAGTAAAAAGGATAGCTCACAATAGCCTTGGCTGGAGAGGAGGAGGAAGATTCCCAAGGGAGAAGTTGATCCTGATGGTATCCCGGGGAGCAGTGGGGAGGGGGGAATGAGACACTGACTATTCAGCAGGTGTCAGCAAATGCTGAATCAGTGCTTGATCCGGAACAGGTTAAGGGGCCTGCGGAGGCTCAGGAGCCACTACTGTGGCTGAGGGTGCCTGGCAGGATTAGGCCACTGACCCCGAGGGTGGGCCCAAGGACTGGAGCCTCCTGATTGATTGCCAAAATGGCCACTGCGTGGGTGCCTGCCACTGCAGTGGGCCAACCCAGCTGTGGTACCAAGGGAACCTCCCACTGGCAGTAATAGGAATGTTGCTGAGAATGGGAGTAGGACAGGGAGATGGAGAGTGCCACTGCAGTGGAGTTGGTTTGCCTCAGTGCCATATGGGAACCAATGCCAGCATGAGTCCTGGTGGCTGTGGTGCTATGGGCAACTGCTGCACTGAGGACAGTGCCATGGAATGGGACAGAGCATACTGGACCACCATCGATGCAGATGTCTGTGCCAGAAGCATGGACTGAGTCAGAATCAATGCAGCAAGCTTTGTCATTTGGATAAGGTCTCATGCTGCCTCAAAAGTGTCTGGCATCTTTTTGCCTGGTATTTGCTGTCCATGATAGAATCATAGAATTGGAAGAGACTTCAGAAAGTCAGAGTCCAGCCCCCTGCTAAAAGCAGGACTAACCCAACTAAATCATGCCAGGGCTTTGTCAAGCTGGGACTTAATCTCTAGAGATGGAGATTCCACCATCTCCCTAGGTAACCCATTCCAATACTTCACCACCCTCCTAGTGAAATAGTTTTTCCTAATATCCTCCCCCACTGTAACTTGAGACCATTGCTCCTTATTCTGCCATCTGTCACTACTGAGAACAGCCTCCCTCCATCTTCACTGGAATCTCCCTTAAAGAATTTGAAGGTTGCTATCAAATCCCCCTCACTATTCTCTTCTGCAGACTAAACAAAACCAAATCCTTCAGTCTCCCCTCATAGGTCATGTGCTCCAGCCCCTAATCATTTTGGTTGCCCTTTGATGGACCCTCTGCAATGCGTCCATATTCTTTCTATAGTGGGGGCCCCAGAACTGGACACAATACTCCAGATGTGGCCTCACCAGTGCTGAGTAAAGGGGAATAACTTCTCTAAATCTGCTGGCAATGCTCCTCATAATGCACCCTAATATACCATTAGCCTTCTTGACTACAAGGGCACCCTATTGACTCATCCAGCTTCTCATCCACTGTAATCAACAGGTTCTTTTCTGCCAAACTGTTACTTAGCCTGTCGATCCCCAGCCTGTAACAATGTTTGGGATTCTTCTGTCCCAAGTGCAGGACTCTGCACTTGTCCTAATTCAACCACATGAGATTTCTTTTGGCCCAATCCTCCAATTTGTCTAGGTCACTCTGGACCCTATCCCTACCTTCCAAGCTATCTACCTCTCCCCCTAGCTTAGTGTCTTCCGCAAACTTACTGAGGGTGCAATCTATCCCCTCATCCAGGTCATTAATAAAGATGTTGAACAAAACCGGCCCAAGAACAGATCCTTGGGGCACTCTGCTAGAAACTGACCGCCAACCTGACATCGAGCCGTTGATCACTACCTAGCCAGCTTTCTATCCATTTATAATCTATTTAGCCAATCCATACTTCCTTAGACCTCGGGTTGTGATCTAAAGTATATGGAGTCACACTTTTACCCATGGAGTCATTCTTCATCCTTCCGGAGCCAATTCTTTGCCCTTTTGTTAAAAAGAACTTAAATGGCTAGGGAAAGGCTCTGTTTCCTTGCTCAGTGGCAAAGAAGGAAAGGACCCTAGGATAGGAGGAGGAGGGACCTTAATAGGCGCTCCACAGCCTGATTTGCAAATCCGGGCTAAGGAAAGGGACGGAGCAGCAGCGAACGTGCTGACCACTCACGGCCTCACCTCCACAAGCCCCGTGGCCTAGTGATGGATTTTAGCCACAGTTCAAAAGGTTGCAGATGAAGAGTCGTTCTCCCCTTAGCAAATTTTCAAAGATAATAGCCAAAGGCTCTTCAATGACATTCGCGAACTCCCTCAGATACATTAAAACTGGATCCATGGATTTGCGTAGGTCTAGCTTTACTAAACAATTTTTAATCTGTTCTTTACACACCGAGGGCTGCCCACCTTCTCCCCATACTGTGCTGCTTAGTGCAGTAGTCTGGGAGCTGACCGTGTCTGTGAAGACAGATGTAAAGAAAGCATTGAGTACTTCAGTTTTTTCCCACATCATCTGTCACTAGGTTATCTCCCTCATCCAGTAAGGGCCCCACACCCTCTCTGATCACCCTCTTATTGCTAACATAACTGTAGAAACCCTTCTTGTTACCCTTCAGATCCCTTGCTAGGTGCACTTCCAACTGTGCTTTGGCCTTCCTGATTAGTCTCCTGCATTCTCGAGCAATATATTTATACTCCTCCCTAGTCATCTGTCCAAGTTCCCACTTCTTATAAGCTCCCTTTTTGTGTTTAAGCTCACCAAGGATTTCCCTGGTTAGCCAAGCTGGTCGCCTACCATTATTTGCTTTTCTTACTGCGCATCAGGATGGTTTCTTCCTGTGCCTTCAGTAAGGCTTAACATGTTAACATCCATGGAGATCCTGCTCATCAGTTCTCTGAGGGAGTCAAAGTCTGGTTTTCCTGAAGTCCAGGGTGTGTATATTTTGCTGCTCCCCTTTCTTCCTTTGGTCAGGATCCTGAACTCAACCATCTCATCCTCACTGCTTCCCAGGCTGCCACCCACCTCTACTTCCCCTACTAGTTCCTCCCTGTTTGTGAGCAACACGTCAAGCTGTGCATGGCCCCATGTCGGTTCCTTCAGTACTTGTACTAGGAATTTATCCCCAACATTCTCTAAAAACTTCCTAGATTATCTGTGTACTGCCGTATTGGTCTCCCAACAGATGTCAGGGTGGTTCAAGTCTGCCATGAGAACCAGGGCCTATGACCTGGAATCCTCATTTATCTCATCCACCTGATCTGGAGGTCTATAGCAGACACAAACCACAGCATCACCTCTTTTGCTCCTGCCTCTAAGCTTAACCCAAAGACTCTCAACATGCTTTTCTTCCTCTATATACTGGAGCTCTGAACAATCACACTACTCTCTTACATACAGTACCACTCCTCCTCCTTTTCTTCCCTGCCTGTTCTTCCTGAACAGTTTATACTCTTCCATGATAGTACTCCAATCATGTGAGTGCTCCTTTGTTGCTCCTTCCTCCTTGTGATTCTTTCCAGTACCCCACTCATCTTAGGACTTAGATCACCATCCCCTGACAAACCTAGTTTAAAGCCTTCCTCATTAGGTTTGGAAGCCAGCCCACGAAGATGCTCTTTCCTCTCTTCGTTAGGCGGATCCCATCTCTTCTTAGCAATCCTTGTGCCCGGAACAGCATCACATGGTTGAAGAAACCAAAGCCCTCTCTCTGACACAACCTGTGCAACCATGCATTTACTTCCACTATTCGATGATCCCTACCTGGACCTTTTCCTTCAATAGGGAGGATGGACGAGAACATCATTTGCGCTTCAAATTCCTTGATCCTTCTTCCTAGTGCTACATAATCTGCAATGACCAGCTCAAGATCATTGCTGGCCATACGTTAATTCCTACATGGAGAAGCAGGAAGGGATAGCAATCCGAAGGTTTCAGTAGTTTTTAAGACTCTGTCATATCCTGAATTCTAGCTTCTGGTAAGCAGCACTCTTGAGATTTCAAGTCTGGATAGCTTCTTCTCTTGGGGGTTCTGGTCGTGGAATGCGCATCCCTAGGACTACACATCCCATACCTTCCGGTCGATGGGGTCTTCTGATTCCTTCCCTGAGAGGTCTCTTCCAAAGCATTCTCCACCTTAGTGCCCGTGCAGAGAGTCTGAAATCAGTTACTTACCTCTGCTGGAACTGGTGATACCTGAGTTGTCTTTCTTCTCCTGGAGGTTACATGCTGCCAGTTTTCTTGTTCTGTATTGCTCTCACTTGTTCTTCAGCCTGCTGTGCCTATAGTATTAAATGCTGCCTTCTATTGAGGAAGTCTTCATCTTCTCTGATGGAATGAAGGGTTGATGCTTTGGCCTTAAGACCTCTACTTTTTTCTTCCAATATGGTGACCAGCTTGCACTTAGTGCAGATGAAATCTTCCATGAGGTTGACAAATATAACACATGCTGTGGAGGTCACACAGCTGAACTTTCACTATCGATACTTACCTTCCTTCAGAGAGATTCCTCAAGTATTTTTATTGCCCCCTTGAAGGGAAGAAGAGAAACAAGTTGCAAGAAAAAAACCCACCAAACACTATGGGGCTTCCCCCAAGGCAAACTCCCCTGTTGGCTGCTCACTGCATTTGCTCTGGCTGCCTTTTTATAAGGCTGCTGGCTAGACCCAGCTCAAAGCCTTGCCCCTAATCCAATCAGCCCCTGAAGGCCCACCTGGAACAAAGCACTCCCACTTCACACTTTTCAAACTGCTGTTCTTTTCAAACTGCCAAACACACAGTCAAACAAATGGTGACAGACAGACACACACACGGATACTCACCCCACAGCTCACAACATAGCCCCCCAAAAGCCACACTTACCTGAGCTGTTTGGCTAAACATCTCTGTGTGAAATCCATGTGCCTCTCTCCCCAATTCACCATATATAAGCTAGAGCCCAGACTGTTTGTGTTCTGATCTGTTCTTTTTCTAGTTGCTCTCCAACACCTAGCAACCAAGTATGCTATATCAAGTACACCTTTTTGTTTTGCTAATAAAATTGCCTTTTTTAAGGCAATGATTTGATTCTTGTGTCCTGGAAGGTAACAGGAGGTCTGTGTGTGCCTGCCTAGCCTGAAGAGCCAACTATCATAATTGCAGTTTGTTTTTCTGTGGCTTTTTTCAAACTCTCTTGTGCTAAAAGAGCTTGGGGGAAACCCTTCGGGAAGAAGTTCAAGTGTTTCTTCCTGATTTTCAAGGCTTTTAGTGCACTTGATGGTGGCAGCCTATCTCCCAGTGCCAGTGAGCCTGTGACTCTGGGGAGGTTTTGTAAGCACAGCCTGCACAGGCAAGGTATTTTAGGTTTCTTGCAGGTGCCCAATTTCTGCACTCTGAGTGCCAGATTGGGAAACAGCCCTGACAAGCCATTAATAACTCACTATTAAAAATGCACACCTTATTTGAAGTCTGAATTTGTCTAGCTTCAACTTCCAACCAATGGATGTTGGTGTATCTTTGCTAGATCGAAGAGTCCATTATCAAATTTATTCTCCATGTAGACAGTAAATAAACTGGTCAAATTACCTCAAGCTTCTCTTCACTAACCTAAAGAATTTGAGATGCTTGAGTTCATCACTATAAAGCATGTTTATTAAGGCCATGTCTACACTAGCACTTCTGTCAGCAAAACTTTTATCACTCAGGGTGTGACAAAACACCCCCCCTGAGTAACCTGAGTTTTGCCAGCATAAATGTTATGTGCACAGTGCTATATCGGCAAGAAAGACTCTCTCACCAACACAGCTACCATTGCTCGTTGAGCTGGCTTTTCCCAGTCAGCATGGTGCGGCTACAGAAGAGCTCTTACAGCAGCACAGCTGTATTGGTACAGAAATGCCACAGCAGCTTTGTAAGTATAGTGACCTAATCCTTTAATTATTCTTGCAACTCTTTTCTGAGTTCTTTCCAATTTATCAAAACCTTTCTTGACTTATGGGCACCAGAACTGTTTTCAAGCTGCACCAATCCCAAATACAGATAGCATAACCTCCCTACTAAAGATTCCCATCCTAGAATACTTAAGGAACTATCCAAAGCAAAGCAATCTCAGTGAGTGATTATCCTCAAGAACTCATGGAGGTGAAATGAGGTCTCGGAAGTAGAGAGGGACGAAGATAGCATCTATTTTTAAAGGGGAAGCAAAGGAGGGCCCAGGAAATTATAGACCCGTCTACCAAACTTTAACATCCAGAAAAATACTGTAACAAAGTATCAGAGCTGTCTCATCCACAGGATGGTTCAGGGTGGCCACCCCACAACCTGCACTTTGGGGGGCCCCATGGCTGCCACCTCAACTGTCTTATGGATGGGACAGTCCTCCATGTTAATTC